GTCTTTCCTAGTTCCATATGAATTTTTGTTCCATTTTTCTAGTTCTGTAAATAATACTGCTGAAATTTTGACAGGGATTGCACTGAATTTGTATACCCATTATCCATTTTGGAAGTATGGCTCTTTTGACTGAATGAATCCTACATAGGATGAGTGGCTATCTTTCCATTTTCTACTGTTGTCTTTCTTTTCCTTTTTCAGAGTGCTATAGTTGGCATTGTACCTGTTTTTATCTTCCTTAGCTAATTACTAAGTATTTCATTTTTCTTTGTGCTATTGTGAATTGTATTTGTCTAATTTCTTTTTCAGTGGATTTATTATTCATGTACAAGGATGCTATAGATTTTTGTATGTAGTCTTTGTATCGCACTACATTACTGAATTTTGTTATTAAGAGTTTTTGGTGGATTTCTGGGGGGTCATCTTCCAAATGATGGTAATTAGACTTTTTCCAGATCTATCTCTATCTCTATATCTATCTATCTTACTTTTATTTTTCCTTCCAAATTTCTCTTGCTAATGTTTTGAGTACTATGTTGAAGAGGAGTGATGATACTCGACATGCTTGTCTTATTCCTGATTTTAGAAGGAAAGCTTTTACTTCTCCCATTCAATATGTTGCCAGAACATTTATCTTAAATGGTTTTTGTCATATTGATGTAAAGTTTTTCTGTATCTATTTTATCTAGTGTTTTCATTATGAAAGGATACTGAATTTTGTCAAAGAATTATTTTGCATTTGTTGAGATGACCATGTGATTTTGTCCTTGCTTCTCTTTATACAATATAGTACATTTAATGATTTGCATATGTTCAGCATCCTTTCATCTCTGGCAGAAAGCCTAATTGGTCATGATGGGTAATCTTTTTGACGATTTTTTGCATTTTGTTTGCCAGTATCTTGCTGAGAAACTTTTATCTATATGCATTAAACAGATTGTAGTTCTCTTTTTTGGTTGGGTCCTGAACTTGTTTTGGAGTCAGGGTAATTGCAGCTTCGAGGAAAGACTTTAGGAGTTCTCCTTCCCTTCAATTTCATTAAAAAGCTTGAAGAGTATTGGTGTTACAATATCCCTGAAGTTTTTGTACAATTTAGCAGTAAATTCATCTGGATCTGGGCTTTTCTTAGTTGGTAGATTATTCATTACTCCTTCAATTTCATTGCCTAATGGTCAGTGTTTTCAAACCTTTTGTTTCAGTTTTGGTAATATATATGTATTTGGGAATCTATTCATTTCTTCTGAATTTTCCAAATTATTGGTGTACAGTTTTTGGCAGTCCTGGCTTGTGAGTTCAGCTTTTTTCATTTTTAACTGTATTGATTAGATTCTCTACTCCTTGTTTTCTCTTTTTTGCTCTCTCTTCTTCCTTCTCTCTCTCTCTCTCTCTCTCTCTCTCTCTCTCTCTCTCTCTTTCTTTTTGTTTAGTTTGGCTAAGGGTTTCTTTATTTTTTTGATTCTTTTGAAGAACTACCTTTTCAGTTCATCAATTCTTTGCATTTTTGGTCTCAATTTCATTGATTTCTATTATGATCTTTATAATTTCCTCCTTTGTGCTAATTTTGAATTTCTATAATTGGCATTCTTCTAAGTCCTTTAGGTGCATTTTCAGATTATCTGGGGGGGCTTAATCTGTTTTGAGGATATGGGTATTCACAGCTATGGACTTCCTTCTTAGGATTACTTTCATTAGATCCTATAATTTGTGCTATGTTTTACGGAGATTACCATTAGTTCTAGAAACATTTATTTCTTCCTCATTTCATCTGTAACCTATTGCACAGCTAAGGGTTTACTGTTTTCATACATTTGCACGATTTCTATGTTTCTTTTGTTATTGGTTTCTAACTTCACTATTATGATCTGAAAATATACACAGTATAATTTCAATAGTTTTAAATTTACTTAAGCTTGCTTTATTGATTAGTCTGTGTTCTACTTTGTAGAAAGTTCATATGCTTCTGAAAAGAATGTTTATTCTGTTGATCTTGGGTGAAACACTGTAGACATGTATTAAGTCCATTTGTTCAATGGTTTTGTTCAACTCTGATATTTCTTTTTTATTTTGTCTAGTTGATCTGTCTATTTGTAATAGTGTAGTAATGAGTTCCCTCACTATAATTGTATTTATGTTTATATGGTGTTTTATGTCCAGTAGTACATGTTTTATGAAGTTGCTTGTATCATTGCTTAGTGCATATATGTTAATAATGGTTATGTCTTTCTGTTAAACTGCTCCCACTGCATGGAATATTGTTTTCTATTCTTTGATTGATAGTCTGTGAGTTTCTTTTTGGATGAAGTATGTTTCTTCCATACAGCATACTGTTGGCTTTGTTTCTTGATCCATTCTTCCAATCTATGTTATTTGATTGGGGAATTTAGATCCTTCATATTGAGTGATTACTGATAAATATTGGCTTATTCTTGTCATTGCCTTATTTTTCTGTTGTTGACTATCTTTTCCTTGTTACTTTTCTATGTTTTATTTATTCAGTGATTCACTTTGATTCTCATTCTTTATTTGTATTTTTCTCTCCCTACAGACTGATTCTAATGTATATGATTTATATTTTGAAATTTATGTATCCCTTTGAATTATCATTGATGTTTATGTTTTTATCTACAATGTAACTTATTTAAATATAAGATCTTTTTATTAAGAACTTAATTTTACAAGTTTTTATGATGCAGAGATTACACATATTTGCTTGCTGTCATATTCTACAGTTTAAATCCTCTATATTTTTCTTATGTATTTACCTAGATATAAGTAAAATATTGCTTTAAAATACTATTTGTGTAAGCAGCGTGATGACAACTACCCTTGATAATCTAGTGAGATAAATTTTAATGAGAATTTCTTTTTGATACAAACCCCAGAGTAATATTGCTGGGACATTGATATTTTTATTTTTTTGCTTTTTGAAAAATTGGTTAGAAAGATTGATGGGTTCCACAGACCCATAATATACTCTGATCATTCTTACCTCCTGTAACCCTCTTGCTCCAAACTCCTCCCTGGTTTTACATTCATTTTGGGGAAGGCATTTCAAGGTGTGTAATATATTTTGTTCACACCTTTATCCCGTTACTGCCCTAAGTACTTCCAGGGTCCTGCTCAAACCTACTCCCATGCTCAGGGGATCAGTATCATATGTTTACTAACAGATAGTTTCTAATTTTTGCTAATTCACAAAATGTAAAGTATTATCTTACTGTTTTAATTTTTTTATTCCTTTAATTATCAATGAATTTCAGCTTTGTGGATTGTGGATTGCCTTTTTAGCATCTTTTATCCAATTATCTAATTGTTTATTCTTTTCTGTTAAATTCTTAGATATCTTTATTTATTGTAGATATTAATCAGTTAATAATTTTTAATGGTATCACTATCTCCTATTCTCCCATGTTTATATCTTCTGCTTGGGATTTTATAGTAGTCTTTGGTTAGTGAAACAATATTTATAGCTTTATAAAGTTCAAATAGTGTGTATACATCCAAGAACATGAGCAATTAATGACGTACAATAAATAAGGGAATAGGTTATGTGTAACATATCACTTCCACCTTATGGCTATGAGAAGTAAAATTCTAGATTTAGTCAAGTATGTGTATGTGCTGGTGATAGACTGTACAGGTTAAACCAAATTGGTACTAACTTTACCAGAATGCATTCTCTTTAGGGTTGACCACAGGAAAAAACTATCATCAGGTGAATGTGGAAAAATACTTATTTACTTTCAAAAGGTCACTGTGGGATATCAGCTTCCACCAAAGATCACAGTTTTGGTGATTCTTGGGCTCACCATGCTGACTTGTTGGAACACCTGTGTGTGCAGGTCTTCTGGCTCCCACATTTCCAGCTCCTTTGGGATGTGGGATCTCCTTCTTCAGACTGATCTGTGTGCATCCCTGTGGGGAGGGGTGCCAGCCTCATCTTCAGGCCACCTGCGTTGTTAGTGGTAAAGGTAATTTAAGACAGATGCAGTTGCTTATTGCTTATTGCTCTGTTACACTTTTACATCTAGATTTCCTTCACATCTGCCAGCCTGACAAATTCAGACTTAGCACCAGCCACAGAAACAAGGAATTTGTATGCATTTCTTCAGTAGTTTCCAGCGTTGTGTAAAAGTTTAATTCCTATAGTAAACCCTTTATTTTAAGTTACATTTTTCTGTTTTTCTGGCTAAATTCTAGCTGCATGCCCAATAGAGATGGGAAGATATGCGTATGTAAATCTATAGGGAGAGAAACATATCAGAGAATCATCCTTGGGACATAATTCTGAGAAGTCAAACTATAAAGCCTTATATATGGAGGCAGACCTTTTACTAGAAAATAAAAGCAATAGTGTTAATGACATTGTCTGAAGTAGCACCTTTTAGCCTATTTTAAGTATAAATCATTTTGGGAATCTGATGAAGAGCTATGGCTTCTTCTCAGGAGAAGAACAAACCTACAAAATTACAATGTTTGACAAATGACTTTGAGATGCTGACAGGCCCTCTGAAGCATGATAGACTCTGAGATCATTGAAAACTTGGTGAATACCAGGGCAGAAACTCTTATATGGACCAGAGCACACATTTGTTTCTTGCCAGGTTGATCTGTGCCTGGTTAGCTCATTTCTTTAGAACCTGGTTCTAATGTAGATGAGATCACATGATCAACCTATGTATAATCCAGCTGTCTCAGCTCCTCCAACGGATACAGATCAGATGCTTTCACATGTGTGTGATGAGTCACAAGCAGGATCCAGTGAGAATAAGGATTCCTCAGTGAAGATTCATCCTTACTAGCTGTAATTCACAGCCGAAGTTCCTGCCAACTCGTGGTTGGAAGTATTATCTTGTATTCAAAGTGACAAGCTCTAAATTTATGATCTGAACAATACTTTCTTGCTTTTGAAGCCAGTAGCTGATGATAAAAAAGTCAAACTGTCCAATAGTCCATGGTAGTTTTCTCCTCTTTCTGTTTGTTTCTGTTTCTGAAGGACAGCCAGAACCAAGAAACTCAGGAAGTTTCCATCCTGCGCAGAACAGCAAGCAAGCATGACCAGTGGTAAGGACTGCTAATACTCAGTACAATTTGGTTTGTGAAGATTTATATGTGAACCACCACTTTTCCAAGCCAAGAATAAATACATAGTAGATATTAAGGTGAAGAAAGACAACTAATCAATGTTCTTGAGCTAGGAGGAGGGCTGGAGCACACCTATAATCTTACCACTTTGGGAGGCTGAGGCAGGAGGATTATGACTTTGAGATCAGACTTGGGCTACATAGCAACTAAATGAGACCATGTCAAAAAGAAAGAAAGCAAGCTGGGAAATTAGTTCAATGCAAAGATCTTGGGTTCAATTGCCATACTGGAAAGGAAGAAAGGAATAAATGAAGGAAGGAAGGAAGGAAAGAAGGAAGGAAGGAAGGAAGGAAGGAAGGAAGGAAGGAAGGAAGGAAAAAAAGAAGAAAAACAAATAAAGCCTTCTGAGTTTTTCTTTACACTAAAATATTCTCATTTATTTTTAAAATGATGACCAATCACTTCTGATAAAAAGTAAATAAAATTCATAGTCTTTAATTAATTAAAAAGTGACCACATCACATAAAAAGTGAGACAACCTTATGATAATTTCTAGCTTTAAGTTACTTCTAAGGCAATAAAATGAGTCAAAGTGTCCTGGCAAGCCCACTGGTAAATAGTGAGGCCTCCTAAAGAAGTGTTAATGAAAACATTATGTAACAATGACTACACTTTTCCAAGCTTTTCATTACGTCTGTGTTCCCATCAGGTTATTTCTTCACTAGCGGTGAATTTAGGAAAATGGAGTAAAAAATTTCTCCTTAAAATATTTGGGTTTATTTCCCCTTTTTCTGCGTGGCTGCATCAGATACAGCAAAAGAATACTTAGCCTCAATATATTTATGTTCTCTGTGTGCCTCGTTATTTATCTGTTTCTCTTAAGCTCAAAAAAGTCCAGACTTCCTTTTAATATGCTGTAAATTCGTCTTCATCCGCATCTTGTTCCAAATAACTGCTTTGAAGATAACGACACACAGGGTGTAAACTATTGTTATTATGCTAATATTTTCTTATAAAATTTTTTTCATAAAGTAAAAAACTGTTATGGGGTAGAGTGGCAAGGGGCAAGGAGAATGAGCAGTGGCTGCTAATGATTACAGGGTTTCTTTGGGGGTGATAAAGGCTCTAGAACTAAGTACTGCTGATTATTGTAGAACCTATGAGAAAAAGCCACTAAACTGTGCCTTCAAGCTGGTAAATGTTATACCAATTTATATGCCAAAACAAAAACTATAGTCAAGAAAATGAGACCAAAAATAGAATTTCCATTCAGAGAAACTGAATCTAGACTTCTCTTTCTTTCTCAGCCTCTGTTCTCTCTGCCGCACCCAGTGGTTTTTCGGCACCTTCCAGATGTGGTGAATGAGACTCATTGCAGCCAGCTGTTTCTGATTGAGCGCTGCAAATTCAACACTTAAGAAAATCTGTCAGTTGTGGGAAAGTCTAGATAATTCTAGAAGGTCTTCGAAGTCTTCCTTACCCTCCCTACAGCAGGTAAATCCTTTTCTAAGAAAATCCTTTTCTCTGTCCTTTCACCCCTTTGGAGGATCAGGCAGGACTTGAGCGGATACCTGGGCCCTTGTCCTTAGTTCTGTAGCTTTAACTGTGGCTGTAAGTATTGACATCACAGTTTGGGCATAGGGTCACTACAATGTTGGAATACTTATACACGTCTCTAACTCATTATGTAAAATTACATTCATTACATTTTCTAAAATGATAAAATTCCTAAAATGATTTAAAAAATGGGGAATATATGCTTTTCCTTCAGAGAAAGTAATTAAAATTTCTCCTTTTCTTGAAAATTGGCATTCCTATTTTTTGCTTCCTTCTTCTCTTTTCTTTTCTTTCTTTTTTTTTTTTTTTCTGGTACCGGGAATCGAACTCACAACCTTGAGCTTGCCAGGCAGGCACTGTGCTGCTAAGCTAAATCCCCAACCCCTGTTTCCTTCTACTTTGTAAAAAAAAAATAATGGAAATAGCTCTTCGCATCTCTTATGTTGGAAAAGCCTCTCAGGGCCACAGTGGTCTGTGTCATGAACGGTGATTCACTGTGGAGCGTGCGGCCAATCAGCAGCACACAGAGATCCGGGGTCCAGGATGAGTGTAAAGGCCTGGCCCAATGGCAGTGGAGCCCACTGGTGCTTATGTTTGCACCATGTGTTTGCAGACAGGCAAAATTCCAAATTGCCATCCCTGATTTTATCCCGCATCCGGGCACCTCCTGTGAGTGGAAACATTCATATTTCTGAATACGAGCCCTTATTGCTACCGTTAGTTTAGTCAATTATTAATCTTTACAGTCACTTTTCTAACCTCAGTCTTGCTCAGTGTCATTTCAGAGGCTGGAATCAGGGTGTGATGCACCACTAGATTCAGGCTTTCGTGTGAGAAGCACTCATTGGTACTGGAAGCTTTACTTTGATAGTTGTATTATAGCCTCTAAGCGTATAATCGCATATGTGCACCTCGGTAAAGAAAGTGAAGCTCAGGATGATTAAAATAATGGACAAAAGTTCACCCAAATCTGATGTGGGTAAATCAAAAAGCAAGACAAAATTTATCCACAATTTCTATGCTCTTGTTTCCAACTGTGGTGCTGCTTTACTGTGTAGGCAATGAACCACTGGGGTTTGTTATCTCTATCAGCTTGATAACTGGCCTTCATTCCCTTTGATTTAAATTGTTCCAATAGCACCCCTTGCTCCATGTAATAGCTAAATAAAACCAGAAGTCTCCTACTTTCTCTCCCCCAGGGAGCATGTTAAAGGAAAGGTACAGAAAGACCACAGGGGCTTCTCAGAGATGTAAGGCCTCCACGAAAGTTCGGCTTAATCATCTCTAGGAACCTCACAACTGCTTCTCCATCCCCTCCACTCTTTTTTTTTTTTTTTTAAAGAGCAGAATATACTTATTGAGGGAAAGAAAGCTCCTGTCCGGGAGAAGGACAGAAGAAGGGCCGAGTGGGTTGCCCAGGGAACCCGTCTTTTCCAGGGATTTCTATAGAGCAAAACCACGAGTTGAGGCAGATGTAAGCTGGAAAACATGGGAACTCACTAGGTGGGCATGAGGTGGGACAAAACTCTGGTCAGCCAATAAGAATTGTTCAGGTAAAATTGATTAAACTGAGATCAAATGGGGATCCATTGTTCTTTTCTTATCCAAAACATGTATTGCTTTCCCACTTGATGCTTTACTTATCATCTTAGTGTTGTTTTCTTTATTCTAGTGTGTAAGGTCTTTGAGAATAGGTATTTTGTGTTTGTTTACTGGCTCTACCTCCAGTGTTTTAAGTATTGGGCATCTATCAAATATATTTGAATGAATACATCAATGGGACAGAAGACTGAAACATGGAGAAGCAGTATCTCATGGGAAGTAAGGGTAGAAATTCTCTAAGTACAACACATCTGCGGAGAGACATACCATCTCTGACTAAATCTCCAGTATTGAAGAAGGTAAGTTTCTATGGCTGACCGCAAGAATTCAGACTTGCCTTGTGTCTTAGCCACTTTTCTCATTGCTGGGCCAAAGTACTAGACACCCACCATACAAAGGAGAGGTACATTTTGGCTCACTGTTTAGTCCATAGTTGGTCCCTACCAAGGCAGGAAGGGCATGGCGGGAAGGTCTGATGGAGGAAGCTGCTGATGCTGTTTCCTGGTGATGCGAAAGCAGAGAGAAAAGGGAGGGACCTGGGGGGGGGATACACCCTTCCAGAGCACACCAGTGACCTGCCTTTTATGACCTCCCAGTATCACGTTCAGCTAGAAAGCTCCCACAAGCCAATCACCTCACAAAAGCCTGCCTCTGAGCGCATAGGAGCTTTGGGCTCTCTCTGGTGCTAACCTGTAGTACCTTATCAACAGTGGGAAAACATGCTGAGTGTCTGTTGTCCAACTTGCTTAAGACTGGTGCTTTTTAGATTTTGGTCTTTTGAGTTTGAAAAATTTGCGTATACATAATGAGATATCTTGAAGATGCACCCAAGTCTAACAAGAAAATTCATTTATGTTTCATATACATTTTTTACATATAGCTTGAATATAATTGAGTGCAATATTTAGTGCATCTGCAGCTCAGCTTCAGGCTGTCACATGAGATCGGACGAGGGATTTTCTACTTGTAGCATCTTGTCCGCACCCAAATACCTTAGCGTTTTGGGGTTTGAATTTTCATATTAGGGATACTTAGCCCATTGCATAATATATCGGACATGTTATCTCTAAATACTGGAATCTGTAATAGTCACAGAGCTTCTGCATGTGAGTGCATATAAATGTAATGTTGCACTGATCTTGTCAGAAGAAATGTTCCTTCATAATCTAGCCAGGCATCACTACGAGGTGGTTAAACTCATCTGCTTCTAGCAGAATGAAACAGCCAAGCATGAAATCCGGGCTATTTTAAAATCTAGCTTTCTTTCCGGGGTGCTACTTCATATTCCACATTAGAGTGGTCTGCAGCTCTGAGGTCTGGGAGTCGAGGGCAGTGCCCCTTGCACCTTCCTCAGAGGTGAGAAGGTAGCACGGAATGGCATTATTTTGTAATCCTGAGAGAGTGGTGCTGCCCTAATCACTCCCACTTCAGCTAACAATCAGGATACACATGGGAATAAAACAAAAAGAAACAACCTCCCCCAAACAAAAGTAAAAACAAAAAGGAAAGAGACCTCTCAAATCCATGAACTTTAGGATTTCTTTCGTGGCTTTGCTATTTCACTTTGAGGCTTATTGTGCCTACTACCCTGAAATCGTTTTTCTGGCAATGACCAAATTTTCACAGCTCTCATCAGGTTAGATTTTGTGTTCACATCTGTTTTGTTTTGTATCCAAGACAGATATTCCAAGAATCTCTCAAAGTCTTACGTTCTGAGTTTTTATCACATCGTAATCTACTCAGGCAGATGATGGGTTTTGGCAAATAGAAGTACTTTTTATTTGTGGGTCATTCATGCATTTGCCATATGACTAGGGAAAGACATAAAAGATCAATGTATTTTAAAAATTTATTTTAGAGGAAAATGAGTCAACTGAAGAAACACATTCCAAACTTTCCAGCCATGTTAATGCCACATGTTCATTTCCAAGAATCTCTAAGGGCTTAAGAAAGTGCACAGTTGCCAAGATGTACCTGAGGCATACATATGGAACGAGGGAGATGACAACAGGTAGGGTGACCAACCATCCAGGTTTGTCTGTGACTGAAGATTTTCCCAGCAAGCAGAGGTTTTTAGGGCTACAAATGAAAATCCTAGGCATATTTAGACACCCTAGAAAAGGAACTGAGAAGAAATAATGTAGGGGATTATTTCCAAGATTTTGGTATTGCAATTTGTGCTGCTATAAACGTGGGTGCACATACATCATGATGGTACGATGTTTTCAGTTCTTCTGGAAAAATATCCATGAGGGGAATAGCTGGGTTGAATGGGACCTCTAATCCTAGTTTACTGAGGAATCTCCAGACTGATTTCCACAGTGGTTGCACCAGTCCACACTCCCACCAGCAGCAGACAAGTGTTCCTTTTTCCCACAGCCCCTTCATCATTTGTTATGGGTTGATTTCTTGATAGCCATTCTTTCTGGGGTGAGATGGATTCTCAGTGTTGTTTTAATTTGCATTTCTCAAGTGACTAATGATGTTGAATATTTTTTCATATTTATTTGCCATTTGTATTTTTTTATCAAAGAAGTATGTATTCATCTCAAATGCCCATTTTTGTATTGGGTCTTTTAATTTTGGTGGCCTGATTTTTAATTCTTTATGTATTCTAGACAGGAGTCCCTTGTCTGAGCGACAGTTGGCTACAATTTTTTCCCCAATTCATAGGTTGTCTTTTTACCTTGTTAATGATTTCTTTTGATGTGCAAAAACTTTTCAATAAGACAAGATCCTTGTTTTTGTCTTCATTGTTGTTATATTATTATTTTTTTCTCTTTAAAACAAAAAAGAAAAGAAATAATGTAGGGGACATTATTACAGTAACACTCACTAGCAAAATTGTTATTTATTTGCTCATTGAGCTAATGTTTTATACGCATCTACAGTCCACTAGAATTTAAGAAGCGAGAGCTAAGTGGGAGCTTGAATATCTTGTGGTCAAAAAGCATTTTCCTTTGATTTACAGATGAGAATTTTAAGATTTAGAGGTTAGGAAGGCCTTCGTATTAGGGATACTTAGCCCATTGCATAACATATTAGGTGTGTTATCTCTAAGTACTGGTATCACTAACAAGCACTGACTTTCTGTACGCAAATGCATATCAATGTAATGCTGCACTAATATTGTCAGAAGAGCAATGTGGGTACAGAGACCACCTCAGCTCTTAAAGGCCTATATCCACTGCGTCAAACTGTCTCTCCCACTGTGTCCCTCTGTGTCCTCTGTTTCTTGTATTTCAGAGCATGCTGAAGCAAACTCCTCATCACATTCTGCTTGTGCCTACTCAGCATATAAATTCACACTCTCCTGTCTCTACATTGACTTTGAGGTGTCAGGCTAAATTACAACCCATTACTGAAGTGAGAACAACAATTTAGAGAGGAATGCTGAGTTAACATCATCACAAACAAAGCAGGGAGTTTTACTTATATAAAAATATACTCACCATACTTTCATTAGGGTGTGTTCGGATTAAGCCTGCATACTTTCATCTCTCAAGACACTTGACAATTTTTATCTTTTGTCATGATCGCTTAATGGCATATGGTATATCCTTCTGAGAGAAGGTCTTCACTCCCTGAAGTCCCACCCTTCATCTCAGCACTTTCTCTAGTGCCTTTGACATAGCAGCTCCTCTCTAAATGATTGACTGGTGATATGTACACGAATAGATACACTCATTCTCTCAAAGTCAAAGTCAGTTAAGACAACTGCATCCTTAGCTCAGGGACAAGTGGATTGACTTTGTCTTGATTTGCAGAAGTCTCATAAAGAAGCATCTAGTTTACTAAATGCCTGTTTGTTTTGAGCTTTTGACAGGATTTACTGCTGGATTTGTTCTATTTATGCTTTCTATTTAGGACCGTTTTTACTGTAGCAGACCAATGTAGAGAATAGGAAACACAGAAAATAGGTGATGGAAATATGAAAAGTTAGAGGAAGGTTGTTTTCCAGCTGACCTGACAGGTACATTCATTTTTCCAGCATGTAGTACAATGTCTGCAAAATGAGAGGTCTTTAAGAAGTGTTTACTAGATAGGTAAGATAGGTCAGTTAAATATCACACATATGTAGGATCCAGAGAATAAGGAAATTCAGCTCAGAACTTAGAGGTATTTTTTTTTAAATTTTACCAGAAGGGAAAAGGATTTTAAAGTTTGGAAGCCAATATTTGTGGAAATGGGAACTTCTTTTGAACTTATACGTACTGTATACTGTGCAGTGTACTGTTAGGTTAATCAATTCTATACTGTATACTGTTAATCAATTCTTATAAAATTTTGCTTACTGTCTTTCAAATCAGCCAATATTTTATTCTTAGTATTTATAGGAGTCAAAAACGTGTTTTTCTCTGCAACTTGATTTTTAGTTTATTTATTGTTCTCTAGGTCACAAAGTCACCTTGTTACAAGGCCTTCTTGACTTCATGATTTCCCACACCAGCAGAAGCCTAAAATCTTCCCTTCAGCTGTACTTGAAACTACTCTTTGGAATTCTTTCTCCATTTTCTCTCTCCCTTAGGCTTCCTCTAGCTTCTCAGACAGATGGCTTAAAGATTAAACTCTCTGTTGCACATCCTTCTACTTTCTGATACCTTTTCCCATTTAATAAATCTTGGACCCAACTCTTCTTTATAAAATGTCTCCTTTAAATTTCCAAATTAAACACTATAAGAGAAGTGAGACAGTTCTTGGTATGTAGAGAGGAATCAGCAATAGAAATTTATTACAAATGTTTATTCCTGTCACGAGTTCAGAGAGTTTAAAAGTAGAGCAGGTCCTCACTTACTTTACTTTGACTGAGGCATACTGCTATCAAATTCAAAGTTAATGCATTCTATTCAAAAGCTTTCCCCTGTAGTTCCTGTATAAGTGTATTGCCAATGAGTTCATTTTCTTTCATTATTCCTTGAATTTATCTGAATTAATTTTTCAACCAGTACAGTACTTTTAAACATTTTATCATTAAATAAACATTAATTTTTATAGTTTTTTCCAATAAATATTTATTTTTGTGGACACTGAATTTTGAATTTTATGTAATTTTCTCATGAAACGTTATTCTTTTGATTTTTTAAAACATTTTTAAAATTTACTTTTTGTTGGTACAATTTAAATATGGATAATGATCACATTCATGATAAAGAATATGTACCTGTCCATAATATATCTTGCTGCTTCTTTTTTTTCCCCATTCCTTTCTCCTATTTTCAACCTTTCTCCTT